CTAAACCCTTAACCCTAAACCCTAAACCCTAAACCCTAAGCTGTTGGTGACTCAGGGTGTACAACGACTGGGCGCCTGTCTGTACACCGTATTCCCGTACATTCTGTAGCTTTGCTCGGGGGTTTAGGGTTTAGGGTTTGTCGACATATTGTTTAGGGTTTATTGTTAGGGTTTAGGGTTTAGGGTTTAGGGTTTAGGGTTTGGAAGATGTGCGACGTGACGTTCATCGCGCGGAGCTCAGACGGTTTGCTGCTGGCGGAGGCCTGGTCCCCCCACTTCAGCAGCAGCAGCAGCAGCAGCAACCTGCAGCAGCCGCAGGAGCAGCAGCAGCTGAAGCAGCAGGTAAAGCAAGTGCTGCAGCGGCTGCAGGGCGACTCTATCAACGGAGCTATTGAGGCTGGCAACCTCCGCTTCTAGTGAGCCTCTATGCATGCAGCACTTCTGCTGCTGCTGCTGCTGTGCTGCAGCAGCACTTGTGCTGCAGGACCATTTGTGCTGCAGCAGCTGCTGCATATATATATAATCTATATATATAATCTATATATATATATATATATGTTGAGGTGTCTGTGCAGCTACAAGTTACGTCGGGGGATAACATATTTAACAGTGTGCGCTGCATCATATCCGCGTCGTCTGGCCGTTTGTTTTCTCGACGATGTCTGCACCCTCTTTGAAGACGAATTAAGTGTCTCCTTTGGGTCGCGCGGGGCTGTCGACGCATTTTCAATGGTGGAGACAATCGAAGCTCCTTATCACTTTCTCAAGTTCGGTAAGTGCAATACTCACAAACACAAACAAATATATATCCTTGCATGCATGCATGCATCCTTGCATGCATGCATGCATGCATGCATGCATGCATGCATGCATCAGTAGTATATATACATATGCATGTATTTAGGGTGCATGCATTTAGGGTGCATGTATTTGGGGTGCATGCATGCATGCATTTAGGATTCTTCACACAAAAAAATAAACGTAAATAATCAACATCTAAATGCATGCATGCATGCATGCATGCATGTACGTTTTGAAATGCATGCATGCATGCATGTATGCATGCATGCGTGTATATATGCAGCAGAAGGTTGGGGTTGGGGGGGGAGGTGATTGTTTGTCTTGTATGTTAGTATGCATATGTATATATGTATCTGCATATATCTATGTTTCTATATATATATATATATAATGTATATATATGTATATATATACATATATATTATTTAAAAGCGTCTGTCTACATATATATATATATATCTTATTTATATATCTTATTTATATATCTTATTTATATATATCCCTCGCCTTTAGACAAAGACAGAGACTGAGAGATATAAGATTAATAATAAACAGAGACAAAGATAGAAGACACAGAAGAGACAAACAGAGACAGGTGCATGAAGGCATGAGAGAAAGCCTAACAGTTTAAATAGTAGTATAGATTGTTGTTGTTGTTTTTAGGATTTGTTTGTTTGTTTGTGTATATGTATATGCATGTATATTAATTTGCTGCTGCTTATAGAAAGAGTTATACAAAAAAAGAGACAGGAGTATGGTGACCCTGTCTCCTCTCGCTCTTTAGCGCGGTTAAATGAGTCTCTTGCTGAAGTATCGGACATAATGAAGCAAAACATAGAAGAAATATTGCAAAGAGGCGAAAACCTCTCAGGTAAGCAACCACCTTATCCCTTTTGCTGTCTCCTCGGCTTCTATTACTCAATATTTATCTCTTTCTTGTATTTGTTTGCTCGAACTCATCTCTGTTAACGTCCTGTGATTATACACCACTGAGCTACGAAGACATACATATATATATAATATATATAATATATAATATATATATACATATATAAATATGTATAATATATATGTATATATGCATGTATATATGTTGTGTATGTATAAATATACATACACAACATGTATATTTAGGTGGATATATATAAATGTATATCTGTAAATATGTACATATATATATGTAAATATAAATGCATATATATATATACATATATATATATATATATTTACATATATATATACATATATGTATATACATAATATATGTATATGCATGCAAAGTTTAGTTTTGTGTTAGCACAGCAAATAACTCCTCGCAACCCACATGCTGCCCGCAAGGTGCTTCTGCTGCTGCTGCAGTTGCTGCTGCAGCAGCAGCAACAGAAGCAGCAGCAACACCGCACACAGCGGCAGCGCCAGGAAGGGCAGCATCAGCAGCAGCAGCAGGAGCAGCAGCAGCAGCAGCAACGCAGGAGCAGCTGCAGCAGCATTGTTTTATTGTTTGTTTTTGTGTTTCTTCAGACGTGGGGAAGAAGGCAACGGACCTCAAATACGCCAGCGAGAAGGCAAGAGCTAAACCCTAAACCCTAAACCCTAAACCCTAGGTGTTACCTCTGGCTGCTCTCCTACTGTCTCTGTGTGTCTCTATCGTTTATTTGTTTTGTTTAGTTGCAGTTTGTCTCCTTTTTAATT